CGAGGGACTTACCCAGGAGGCGGTTGCTGCTCACTCCTCAACCCGAAGTCAAGACAACTGGCTGCATCCACCAACCCAGAGTGACACAGGCCCGACTAGGCCCAGGGACGTTAACAAGGTAACGAGCAGCCATGACCCTGTTCGACCGCCAAAATCCCCATGCCGGAATATCAGCCCAAGACATATTGCCAAAGATGGTGGCAAGAGTCGCGAATTTGCAAATGTCATGGGCACGGGGAAAGACCGCAGGCCTTTCCACAGACCGGAAAAGAAAACCCCACTCCTTGTAACAGTAAGCCCCGCTCAGAGGGCAGAAAAACCCAGGGGTAGTCCAGTGGGGCCCAAGGGTCCCAAATCAGCCCCTCCCAAGACCCAAGGTCCTCCTCCGCAGCACCCAGGGTCGAGTCCTTCCCCCAAGCACCAACCCCACCAGACAAGGCCGCCGCAGCCGTAGAAGCCGGACAGAAGGGGGGCCCACTGGTCAGACCCAGAGGCTTTGGCCGGGGGAAGGAGATTCGAATGCCTCCGTCACCACACCGGAAGGGGCATTCCCCTTGGCTGCCCGAGTCTCAAGACCAACTAACCCCTGCTCCGACTCCAAAACCCTCAGAAGTTTCAGGGCCGGAACAGGGGGCCCAGAACAAACAACAGGACGGGAAGGACGAGGAGGTGCGAAATGAACCAGGGTTGAGGTGACCCCCACCCCCAAGTCCAGGTCCCTATAAGCAAAACGTGGCAGCCGCAGGGTATCCGGGTGAGCAACCAACCGAGCGCATTGCAACAAACGAAACCTAGAATGCAACGCCTGCGCAGTCAGTACCCGAAGATCATCCGCAGATTGGGTAAATTGAGTCACCAGCAAGCAGCAAAACTCACAGGACACAGGGTCGAAAGTGTCACCTACCCAACAGGCAGCGTGATGGAGGCAAAAACCGTGAGGGTCGCCCTGAGACAAGGGGACCGAACAACCCTCAAACTTGCATTAAGGAAGGGGGGGACTCCAGGGGTCGCATCCATCGGACCCGCACATTCCCTAGAGAATTTCCAGGGTCCTGAGCATTTACTATAAGAGGACTCGCGCTCAGGTAAACCGAGGCAGGGTTCTGCTAACCGGCATCCAAAACTACCAAACTGTTTACAGCTGAACCCCAGGGACGTGTACGCTCTTGGGGACCTAGCAGGGGGCACCACCAAATATCAGGATTCGGCCAAACACCAGTGCCAAGTAGGGCAGAACCCCCTACCAAGGCAAAAACAGAAAAAAAAAACCCCGCAAGAGGATAACATACCCCAAGGAACAGAGCCGGCCACTGTGATAGGTGACAACTAGCTGCACAGCACCCTGCGCCCCTTACCAGTGCAAAACTGCCTCCTACCCTAAGATGAACTAGGGAGACAAAACACCCAAGTACCCAAAAAGCGGTCAAAAAACCGAGCAGTTAAACAGACCCACAGAGGCAGATCCCAAGGAACCTGTGGAAGGTAACCCCAAGCTCCAAGGGCAGTACTTACAGGGAACCTAGGGAAGGGATCCCTAGGCGCGTGCAGCCCGAGTACTGAAGAGTAATTCCTGGCTCTCGCACCCCTGGAAAACAGCCGCCACACACAAGGCACAGTGCCGTAAAAGTCTGGAGCCAGAGCACACAACAGTTGTCTATAGCATCAGCCTCAAGAACTGGGTTGTAGATCGCCAGCACAGTAGATCTGGGGCTCCTCCTTCCCCCTCCTGGGGAGGGGGGAGCTGCGCAGATGGCGGCGTGGCAATGGGTGATGTCACACAAGTTTGCTCGTTTTTGTTTGGGAAATTCTATCCACTTGTTCAGCATTTGGTAGCAATATTTTCACCAGAATAGTGGTTTGTTTGGGATGCTTACCTTTCTGGGTGCCTGACCCGGTCGATGGCAGACACAGAATGCTTCCAACCACACTGGGGCTTCTATAGGCCATTGCTCCCCATGCCTCTCTGAGGGGGCCAGGTTCTGGCCGTGGTCCCCGGTAGGCCCAAAAAACTCCATACACATGACTGATGCCAAAGTCTGACATTAGCATATCAGTCTGGATAGCTCTGGGGAGCCGTAGGGGCTCACCCCAGAAAAAAAAATGAAAAAAATTGAAAAATGGACAAATGCCATAAAGGTTCATTCAGTGTTTGTCGGTAGGATGCTTCATAATGACAATCTTTCTTTGTTTCAAATGTGTTCAATTTGTTTAGTAAGTATCCACTCGATTTAACGGCCTATATGGGGCTGTACCCTGGTCGTTATTTCCGGAGCTCCGGTATTTCCGAAGATAAGTCTTTTTTTTTTCAAGTAACATTCAGGTAAGATATATTTTTTACAGACCACCACTCTAGTGCCTTCTACCCTGTGACGTCACAGATTTACGGCACATTGTTTTGATTTGTCAAGAGGCTGGAGTGTTCATTACGTGACTTTGTTGTACATATCTGCACAATCAAGGAACATCCGTGCACCATGTTGGCTCCAAATGCACTCATTGTGTCAGTGATGGCTGACTGGTGGGTGGATGGACAGGCAGGCAGGCAGGAAGAGGCTGGGAGGGAGAGGCACGGAAGGAGGCAGGCAGGCAGAGCTTCGGAGGGAGGCAGGGAGAGAATGGAGATGGATGGAAGGATGGAGAGAGGAAGGGAGGGATGAAGGATGGGATGGATGGATGGATGGATGGATGGATGGATGGATGGATGGATGGATGGATGGATGGAGGGAGGGAGGGAGGGAGGGAGGGAGGGATGGAAGGAGGGAGGGAGGGATGGAAGGAGGGAGGGAGGGATGGTAGGAGGGAGGGAGGGAGGGGGAGGGAGGGAGGGAGAGAGGGAGGGAGGGGGAGGGAGGGAGGGAGGGAGGGAGGGAGGGAGGGAGGGAGGGAGGGAGGGAGGGAGGGAGGGAGGGAGGGAGGGATGGAAGGAGGGAGGGAGGGATGGTAGGAGGGAGGGAGGGAGGGAGGGAGGGAGGGAGAGAGGGAGGGAGGGAGGGAGGGAGGGAGGGAGGGAGGGAGGGAGGGAGGGAGGGAGGGAGGGAGGGAGAGATGGAGAGAGAGAGGGAGGGAGGGAGGGATGGGTGTTGAATTGAGCAGAGAGAGAGAGTATGGGTGGGAGGGGGGGAGGGGGTGTCGGTGGTGGGGAAGACACCGACTCACAGATAAGCCTAACACTTGACCCAGTGAACCAGATGTTTCTTAAATAAATTCTGGATATACATCATTTATATTTTTGGTTGCAGATTTTGTTTAGTAATATTATTAGGATAATAAAAAGTTATAAAACACTTGTTTCATGAATGCTTTATTGTATTAGATGGAGATTCTCCAGGCTGTTTGTGGCTGGCTGGCAGTCTACTGAGCTATTTCCCAGATGGGTCTTGGGAGGGGGGGAGGCAGGAAGTGAGAGTGTGGGGGAGAGCAGGAGTGGGGGAGAGGTTCAGTGAAGGTGAGGGAGGGGACGATAGAGGTAGGCAGCCTGCTTGCCACGTGAGGACCCCCTGATGCCAAAACAAACCCAATACCGACCTTCGGTAATATCGACCGCCAGACCGGTATATGAGGCTCTAGATACAGGTCTCCAAAACCGGTCGTTATTACTGGCAGATCGGTCTAAAAGAGGCCATTAAATTGAGTGGATACTGTATTCATTTATTTATTAATAATTTAGCAGCCCGACAAACACTGAACAAACGTTTATGGCATTTGTTCTGTTTTTCAATTTTTCCACTTTTTTTTTTATGTTTTTTTAAGAAACATGGAGCAGCCTACATGACAAACACCGAGCAAACCTTTTTGACATTTGTTCTGTTTTTCAAAATTTTTCAAATTTTCTTATTTGAAAAAAATCAATGCTTTGCAACATCACAACAGTCACCCCTTTACATCCCAGCATCATTAGCATCTTAAAAAAAAATATTTAATTGCATCGTCGGAGGCGTCCAAGAAGGTGCGAGAAGCAGCAGGAACGCACCATGTGGTTTTCTCGTTAATCAAACGAGCGCTCGCCAATCAAGACAAATTGTTGCCGTTCGGCAAGCTTGTTATTCATAATGCTCGTAAATTGAGGCACTCATAAGTATATGGAGCACCACCTGGCAAATTTAATTTAATGTTAATAAATGTCATGTTATGGAATGTGGAATAGGAGAACATAGACCCCATACAACCTATATATTATGTGAGAAATCTTTAAAGAATTCTGATAAAGAAAGAGATCTAGGGGTGGTTCTAGATAGAAAACTATCACCTGAGGACCACATAAAGAATATTGTGCAAGGAGCCTATGCGATGCTTTCTAACTTCAGAATTGCATTTAAATACATGGATGGCGATATACTAAAGAAATTGTTCATGACTTTTGTTAGGCCAAAGCTAGAATATGCAGTTGTTGTGTGGTGCCCATATCTTAAGAAGCACATCAACAAACTGGAAAAGGTGCAAAGACATGCTACGAAGTGGCTCCCAGAACTGAAGGGCAAGAGCTACGAGGAGAGGTTGGAAGCATTAAACATGCCAAAACTAGAAGACAAAAGAAAAAGAGGTGATATGATCACTACATACAAAATAGTAACAGGAATTGATAAAATCGACAGGGAAGACTTCCTGAGACCTGGCACTTCAAGAACAAGAGGTCATAGATTTAAACTAGCTAAACACAGATGCCGAAGAAATATAAGAAAATTCACCTTCGCAAATAGAGTGGTAGACGGTTGGAACAAGTTAAGTGAGAAGGTGGTGGAGGCCAAGACCGTCAGTAGTTTCAAAGCGTTATATGACAAAGAGTGCTGGGAAGACGGGACACCACGAGCGTAGCTCTCATCCTGTAACTACACTTAGGTAATTACACTTAGGTAATTACTCGTCACACAAGGTTCCACTATACTGTTCTTGCGTTAATACAGATGAAGATAAACTAAACTAGCAACCAAGCTGACCTATGACAAAATATATCAATTACTATTTACACTGGTAATAGACATTTTACAATATTAAAACCATACCTAATCCAATGTTGACATAATCTGTAATGACAGAGGTAAATGAACGATGATTGCGAGTAGCCAGTAGGCGCATGATGGTAACCTGAAGATTGATATTGGCCTCATATACTGCTGCTGACCCATTTACTGTTACTAATTCTGCCAGTAGCCAGCAGGTGAATTCTGAAAATAAAATAACAAAAATTTAGCAATGATTAATGTACAAAACTGAAAATAAGTGTTGAATGTAATGAAATGCCTCATTCTTGTAAGACCTCGGTGGCTCTCCAAAGCTACCTTGTTGAGATGATTTCTTTCTTCCGAGTTACATTAGCCATCGGAGTCTTGTATGGCCTTCCAGGAACCAAAGCCAGAACCTGACTGGGGGCATAAAGAGCTAGATCTCACTTGCCTATACTCACTGATAAGCACCCGTGGTCAGACAAACCAATCATCAATCACCAAGGGACCCCTCCTGTGGAAACTAACTCATCTTATAATGCCATTAAGCACTCCACGGCTCTGCATTAAAATATGACAAACTTCTGGTGCACAGAAAATAAAGTCTTTCCAAAATATTATTTTCTCTTCTAATATTGTTAAAATACATTTCTCTTCTAATATTGTTAAAATACAGTCTCTGATCACGGGAAACTAAAAAAAAAATTGTTTGTAATTACCTAAGTGTAGTTACAGGATGAGAGCTACGCTCGTGGTGTCCCGTCTTCCCAGCACTCATTGTCATATAACGCTTTGAAACTACTGACGGTCTTGGCCTCCACCACCTTCTCACCTAACTTGTTCCAACCGTCTACCACTCTGTTTGCGAAAGTGAATTTTCTTATATTTCTTCGGCATCTGTGTTTAGCTAGTTTAAATCTATGACCTCTTGCTCTTAAAGTTCCAGGTCTCAGGAAATCTTCCCTATCGATTTTATCAATTCCTGTTACTATTTTGTATGTAGTGATCATATCACCTCTTTTTCTTCTGTCTTCCAGTTTTGGCATATTTAATACCTCTAACCTCTCCTCGTAGCTCTTGCCCTTCAGTTCTGGGAGCCACTTAGTAGCATGTTTTTGCACCTTTTCCAGTTTGTTGATGTGCTTCTTAAGATATGGGCACCACACAACTGCTGCATATTCTAGCTTTGGCCTAACAAAAGTTGTGAACAATTTCTTTAGTATATCGCCATCCATGTATTTAAAAGCAATTCTCAAGTTAGAAAGCGTGGCATAGGCTCCTCGCACAACGTTCTTTATGTGGTCCTCGGGTGATAGTTTTCTATCTAGAACTACCCCTAGATCTCTTTATCAGAATTCTTTAAAGATTTCTCACATAATATATAGGTTGTGTGGGGTCTATGTTCTGCTATTCCACATTCCATAACATGGCATTTATTAACAATAAATTCCATTTGCCAAGTGTTGCTCCATACTTATTTTGTCCAGGTCATCTGGAAGGGCATGACAATCATCTAAGTTTCTTATCCTTCCTAAAATCTTAGCATCATCAGCAAACAGGTTCATATAATTCTGTATACCAACTGGTAGATCATTTATGTAGACAATAAACATCACTGGTGCAAGAACTGAACCCTGTGGTACTCCACTTGTCACATTTCTCCAGTCTTGCCTCTGATTACTGCCCTCATTTTTCTATCAGTCAGAAAATTTTTCATCCATGTTAGAAGCTTACCTGTCACCCCTCCAATATTTTCCAGTTTCCAGAACAACCTCTTATGTGGAACTCTGCCAAAAGCCTTTTTTAGGTCCAGATAGATGCAGTCAACCCAACCATCTCTTTCCTGTAATATCTCTGTTGCTCGATCATAAAAACTGAGTAAATTCGATACACAGGATCTTCCAGATCGAAAACCATACTGTCTGTCTGATATTATATCATTTCTCTCCAGGTGTTCTACCCATTTAGTTTTGATTAGTTTTTCCAATACTTTCACTATTACACTTGTCAATGATACAGGTCTATAATTGAGGAGGTCTTCCCTGATGTTAGCCTGTTTCCACACGTCTGCTACGATTCCTGTACACAGGGAAGCCTGAAAGATCTGGTGAAGTGGAATGCTGAGCTCAGATGCACATTCTTTCAGAACCCATGGTGAAACTCCATCTGGGCCAACTGCTTTGTTCTTACTGAGCTCCTGTAGCATATTTTCCACTTCATCTCTAGGCACCTCTATACGCTCTATGTTGTTCTCTGGAATTCTTATTGTGTCTGGTTCTCTGAAGATTTCATTTTGTACAAACAAACTTTGGAACTTTTCATTTAATATTTCACACATTTCCTTTTAATTTTTCGTGAATCTGTTTGCCATTTTCAACCTCTGTATATTATCCTTTACCTGCAATTTGTTGTTTATGAATTTGTAGAATAAGCCCGGTTCTGTTTTACATTTATCCGCTATCCCTTTTTCAAAATTTCTTTCTGCCTCTCTCCTTACTGTCGTATAGTTGTTTCTCGCATCTTTGTATCGCTGGTATGTTTGGGGGTTTGGCCTCTTCCTATACTGATTCCATTTTTGTGTCTTTTGGTCTCTAGCCCTCTCACAATTTCTGTTGAACCAATCCTGTTTTCTGGCCCTGCATCTCTGTTTTGGTATGAATGTTTGTGTGACTTCCTCATATATTTTGCAAAATTTGGCATACCTTTCATTTACTTCCCTGCCTAGCAACAAGTCTGTCCAATTACACTCATTAAAAAATTTTCAAAGTTCTCCATAGTGACCTCTCCTTAACCCTTAAAGTGCGCATCACGTCATATGAAGTGTAAATCGTTTTACCAGTCAACTGCGCTTCACGTCATATGACGATTATGGGTACCACGCACGATTTAAATGGCCCGCGGTGTAGCTGGGGGTCCCATACGCTGCCCAGGGGCTATAGTAAACAGCAGCCATTTTGAAAAAAATTCCCGCTCACGAACCGAAGGCATGGGAGGCCTCAGTTTAGCGAGAGTCACCATGGCGAGCGCACGGTCAAACGCCTCACGGGCACGCACCACTCAATCCCTCACCCCAGAGCAAATAGCCCACGAATTATTCTCTGAAGGTGAAGAAAGTGTGTTTGATGATTCAGACAACGATGAGGATTATACACAGTTGTCGGGTGATAGTAGCAGCAGCAGTGAGAGTGACAATGCTCGCCATGCCATGGCGAGGCCTCTACGCTCACCTATGCCTCCTCGGCCAGTTTCTACCCCAATTCTACCACGACCTCACAGTTCCTGTGGATATTTTCTGTTTGAGGGTGACGAGTCAGAGGGAGGTGACTCCTTTTCTGGGTTTAGTGACTTAGATCATAATTTTATTGAGCCTGTGGCTGGTACCAGCGGTGTAACTGGGCGAGAAATTGTCGCGTCAGCAGCATCTCGCCCAGCCAAGCGCCACCGCATGGCACCACATGAGGGACCAAGACCCTCGTGTTCACGTGCATCCACCTCACGTGTACCCACCTCACGTGCACCCACCTCACGTGCACCCACCTCACGTGCACGTAGCGGCCGTGCTTCTCGCAGACGGTATTCAGCTCCTGGTCGCCGGTATGCATCGCTTCCTCGCCGTCTTTCCTCTGCATCTCGCAGGACGCCTGGTGTACTTGAGTGGAGTGATGGTGACGATTTTATTCCTAATATTCCTCACTTTGACGATAAAGATGTAGGGATTACAAACCTTTTACCTAATCAAGGTGAGGACATGGCTGAGATGGAATATTTTACAGCATTCTATGATGAACCACTCATGGAATACATTGTACACCAAACGAACCTGCATGCTGCTTGCCTGATTGAGAGGCAAATCACAGAATTTTCACAACTGCAGCGTTGGAAAAATACCACAGTTGCGGAAATGTAGGTACTCACCTAATTGTACTCACCTAATTGTGCTTGCGGGGGTTGAGCTTTGGCTCTTTGGTCCCGCCTCTCAACTGTCAATCAACTGGTGTACAGATTCCTGAGCCTACTGGGCTCTATCATATCTACATTTGAAACTGTGTATGGAGTCAGCCTCCACCACATCACTTCCTAGTGCATTCCATTTATTAACTACTCTGACACTGAAAAAATTCTTTCTAACGTCTCTGTGGCTCATCTGGGTACTAAGTTTCCACCTGTGTCCCCTTGTTCGTGTCCCACCCGTGCTGAAGAGTTTGTCTTTGTCCACCCTGTCAATTCCCCTGAGAATTTTGTAGGTGGTTATCATGTCTCCCCTTACTCTTCTGTTTTCCAGGGATGTGAGGTTCAGCTCCTTTAGCCTTTCCTCGTAGCTCAATCCTCTCAGTTCCGGGACGAGCCTGGTGGCATACCGCTGAATCTTCTCTAACTTTGTCTTGTGTTTAACTAGGTATGGACTCCAGGCTGGAGCTGCATACTCCAGGATTGGTCTTACATAAGTGGTATACAGGGTTCTGAAAGATTCCTTACACAAGTTTCTGAAGGCAGTTCTTATGTTGGCCAGTCGTGTTAAAGAAGTGTTTGTAGAAAGCCTATTGGTCCATATTTCTTGATGCTTCTATATTGGAGCGGAGTCTTGAGGTGGGTAGAATATAGTTGTGCAATAATTGGCTGTTGATTGCTGGTGTTGACTTCTTGATGTGTAGTGCCTCGCAAACGTCAAGCCGCCTGCTATCGCAGCTTGTTTGCGAGGCACTACACATCAAGAAGTCAACACCAGCAATCAACAGCCAATTATTGCACAACTATATTCTACCCACCTCAAGACTCCGCTCCAATATAGAAGCATCAAGAAATATGGACCAATAGGCTTTCTACAAACACTTCTATTCAATACCCATTGTTTCTGTTCTGTCTTGTGTTGATACTTTTAATACCCTATTAATATCCCCTATTGTTCTGTCTTGTGTTAATGCCACATCACCCTTCCCACCTCACTCAAATGTAGATATAAAATCAGAGAAACGCAAGTTCTAATCAGTTGTGTATTTGTGAAGTCTTTGAAAATGTAATAAGTTTTACGAAACGCGCCCGTGTCGCGTCAGACAGACTAGAAATAAAAATGAATTTTGGAGAAGTGATTTTTGATTTACCTCCAACAGTGAAGCGTAATGTACGAAAGATTGAGAAAATTTGTGTTAGAATTATTAATCTTACTTTTTCGGTCATATTTAATAATATATGTCTACAGGAAAGACTGCTACCAAAATATACTA